GGGGGGGGGGGGGGGGGGGGGGGGGGTTCGACTTACTTTGTAGCGAGGGTAGGGGGATTGTGAAGGGCAGACTGTCGTCGGTGACGTCTGCGGTGTGGACGATGCTGGTGTACAGAGCGGAGAAGCCGGTGACGGAGGCGGAGGCGGACATAAAGTAGCGCACAAAGAGCCGTTGGATCGGCCAGGTCAAGAGCGCCCATACCATGCCCGCAAGACCGGCCTGTTTGGCGGCCGAGGAGCATTTCGCCCACATCGGTCGCCAGAGCGACGCATCGTGCAGCAGTCGATACGCGCCCACCACGCAGTAGAGCGGTGGGAAGCTCAGCGTCTCCTCGGGCATCCTTGCAAAACGTGTACAGATGGTGCGAGAAAGAGAGGCGGCGAGGATTTCGGGCGCGTTTTTCAGAGACAGGCGCGTTGCACCGTGCGCGCCCAGAAAAAAGGCCGCCTGGGAGGATGCAAAGTGCCCAAAGGTCGACAGCATGCTATCGCCATCCAACCCTCCAAACGGCCAGCGAGACACCTCCATCGTGACAGCTCGACTGCAATATCGCGCATCGCCAATCCCACGTCTGCCGGTGCAACTTGTAATAAAGACCATGCCAGCTTTCAACGGCACGACCAAGTCTAGGCTTCACACGACGAGTGCGACTCGAGACGATCCCATCTGCACACGTTAGGCATAGCGATAACCATGGCATATTGTTTTGTTTACTGCAGGACTATGGTACAGGGCATATTGGAGGTTTAGATGTAAATGTGGGAGAAATGGACAACGCCAAACTTAGAGCTTGTCGGCGATCATCTGCTCCATGGTGGCGCCGTCCTTGGCAAAGCCGGCGATGCCCTCGGCGAGCTTGGTGTTGGCCATGGGGTCCTTGGCCAGGTCGAGCAGGAAGGCGGGCTGGTCGTTGATGTACGACACCTTGGGGATCTTCTCGGCCGCCTTGGCCTTGTCCACCGACAGCTTCTGCTCAATGGGGCCCTGGGCGTTCTTGAGCTCCTCGAGCAGCTTGGGCGAGATGGTGAGGAAGTCGCAGCCGGCGAGCTCGAGGATCTCGCCCGTGTTGCGGAACGAGGCGCCCATGACAATGGTCTTGTAGCCGTGCTGGCGGTAGTAGTTGTAGATGCGCTGCACCGACAGCACACCGGGGTCCTCGTGCGAGGCGTACTCCTTGCCCTCGGCCTTCTTGTAGTAGTCCAGGATGCGGCCGACAAAGGGCGAGATGAGCGTCACGCCGGCCTCGGCGCAGGCGACGGCCTGGTTGAAGCCAAAGAGGAGCGTGAGGTTGCAGTGGATGTTGTGCTGCGACTCGAGCTCGCGGGCGGCCTGGATGCCCTCCCAGGTGGAGGCGATCTTGATCAGGACGCGCTCGCGCTTGACGCCGAGCGACTCGTACAGGGCGATGAGCGACTTGGCCTTGGCGATCGTGGCCTCCTTGTCGAACGACAGGCGCGCATCCACCTCGGTCGAGACACGGCCGGGGATGATCTTGAGGATCTCCACACCAAAGGCGACCAGCAGACGGTCAGTGGCGAGGTCGAGCTGCTTGGCCTTGTCCGAGGTCTGCTCCTTGGCGTACTGCACGGCCACGTCGATCAGACGCGCGTACTTCTCCTGCTTGACGGCGGCGAGGATGAGCGACTGCGAGGCGGTACGAGGGCTACATGTCAGCGGCGTGTAACTATTGGTGTCGGCAATGGCAAAGCGGAGCCAGACTTACAGGGTTGGTGGTGGCGTCCTGGGGCTTGTAGGCGTCGATGGACTCAAAGTCGCCCGAGTCCGAGACGACGGCGGTGTACTGCTTGAGCGAGTCGAGGGCGGACATTTTGGTAGATTGTATTTCCGACACGGTTGGTGGTGGGGGAGAGGCTGGAGTTGTTGGAAGGGATGGGGTGTAGAAGAAAAGGACGGCGTGATGGCAGCAGGTGGGCCGACTATATACGATTGCGAAGCGCTCCTCTTCGGAGATCTTGAAGCGGCAAGATGCCCACCCTCGATCAGTCACGTTCACGGGCAGCACAGCGCAGCACAGCGCAGCGCAACGAGGCACAACGAGGCGTGGGTGGAGAGAGCTGCCTGCTGCTGATCTGGCAGCGATAAAGCGCAGGAGCGGCACGCGCGCCCGGGCCACGGTCCGAAGATCGGTGAGTCCGTGCAGCTGCGCAGTGTCGCAGTTGTAGCAGTGTAGCAGTGTAGCGCTCTCGCTGCCTTCTTCCGATCTCGGTCGGGAGGGGCGAGAAAGTTGAGAAGTTGAGGGACGGGTGCATCAGCGCGTCATCGGATTCCAACCCTGATTGTTTTTTTTTTT